ATAGAGATGATGATGGCAATGATGGATGGGTTAAGTGACTATATCTTGATAGGACGTTGGATAGACTAGTGAATAAATTAATATCGAAAGATAGATTAAGTGATTGCAATGTTGGTGGAAAAATACGAACACAGTCACACTGAATGCCGGTTATTAATTTTTTAGATCAACTTACACACAGGTAGAAAATCAGACTGGCTGTACTAGTGAAATACAGACAGTTCTAGTGAAATACAGACAGTGCTAGCTGGACAGATTAGACATTGACTGGTTGCCTAGAAGAAACACGAATATACATGTCAGACCGACAAATAGATGGACAGAAACGTACGAAGACAGACAGATAGAATGAAGGGCAGGTAGACAGACAACCCGACTAACAAAACAATAATTTCACCCATATCTAATGTGTGTGTGCGCGTGTTAGTGTCTGATATTTTTGACCATATAGACAGACGGATGAATGTGGCGACGGATGGGCAGAGCGGACAGTCAGACGGGCGAGTGGACGGACGGACAGAGTGGACGGACGGACGAGGTGACGGATTTACAGACGGACGGACGGGGCGACGCATGGACATAGCGGACAGAAGGACGGACGGGGCAAAGGATGGAGAGAGTGGACAGACGGACGGACGAGGTGACGTATGGACAGACAGACGGATGGACAGCGCGGACAGACGGACGGACGAGGTGACTTATGGACAGACAGACGGATGGACAGAGCGGACAGACGGACGGACGAGGTGACGTATGGACAGACAGACGGATGGACAGAGCGGACGGACGAGGTGACGTATGGACAGACAGACGGACGAGGTGACGTATGGAAAGACAGACGAACGAAGTGACCTATGGACAGACAGACGGACGGGGTACGGATGGACAGACGGACGGACGAGGCAAAAGATTGACAGACGGACGGACGAGGCAAAAGATTGACAGACTGACAAACCGGCAGACCGACAGACAGAGGGATAATTAGACATACGTTCAGAAAAACGTACATACTTTTCACCCATATAAAATACTTTTTTTTCCCTAGTGTATCAATGACCATTGGCCAATTAGTGAAAAACTACGTGGAAGCGTCACAGATATGGTTTCATAGACGAATGGTCAAATCATGGACAGATCGCAAGACTAATGACATCTTGAAAGAAATGAACTCACGAAGAGCACTTGTTACCAACATCAGAAGTAGACGTTTATTGGTTGCCTCACAAGAAGGAGCAAAACTGGAGTTCTCTGTCTGGGCAGGAACGGTAGCTGGGGGAGAGGGAGACTACTAAGATTCTGAATATTTTGACAAAATGATACACAAGATCGGATGAGATGTTACTTGAAGTAAACGAGAAAGAAGGTTGTGGATTGGGACTATCAAGCGACTACTAAACCAACGAAATCATCATTCATATTATCCTAATGTGCCATTACATGTCGCATAGGGCTTGCTGTCTATTCACCCATTCCGCTGTGGGCCTTGCAGTCATGAATGGAATCCAGTCCAGTAGATTTGGCCTCATCAGCTTTCGTTTTAGGGTTTTTTTTTTTTTTTTTTTTTTTGGCGTCCTCGCCTCCTTAATCTCTTATTTCTCATTTCAATGCTTGTTTTGTGATTCTCTGCTTTCTCGAGTGGCGCCATCTTCTCTGACTTACAACTGTTGATACTATTGGTTACCCAGACTTTTGTCTTATTGTTTTATTCCTTTTGAATTCATTCCATTTTATTTTCAATATTTTCTTCAGATGTTTGTTCTCCAGTGCATTAACTTTCGTTCCATGTCTTTAGTTGATCTCCAGCTATCACTAGCATATGTTAAAACTAGATATTAGATGGGAAAATGCGTAACTTGGTTTTAAAACTATACAATTAGATTTTCATATTGTAAACAAGTTATTTTTCAAATATTCAGTCGTTTTATATGGCTCTGAAACTTGGAGCACAACCAAAAGAGATGAAGCCTCATTAAAAATTATTGAAAACTATTACGACGAATCTTTGGACCCATCGAAGATGCAGATAGCTGTGAATGAAGAGTGAGAAGCAACAACGAAGTTCCTAATCTTTTTAAATCACCATTGATCGCTGGCATCATGAGAGCTAATAGACTGAAATGGCTTGGACATATTAAAAGAATGTCAAATGACAGAGAGAAAGAAACTGTGTACACAAGGCAGCTGAATGGTCGTAGACCACAAGGCAGACAAAAAAGACAATGGAAAGATAACATCCAGACCTGCAAACACTTGGTGTCGCCAGCTGGAAAGAGAAGGCCAACCAGAGAGAGGAGTGGAGGCGGGTGATATCTGCAGCAATGAACCCTAAAGCCGAAGAAGAAGTAGATGCTTTCAAAAGCTGCCAATGTCTTGCCAATGCGTGTCATAATTTTATTCAATGCATTTCCTTGATTATCAAAATTACTATCTAAAAAAGTAAGCTATCAGATGAAATCTCAGTAATGCAAGCAATTAAATGATTTTCCATCGTTCGTTTCAGACTGGCAGAATGGAATCATTGGACTCATGATATTTGCAGCTACTTTCGGCTTCCTGGCCTCTGTTCTTTCCATCTGCGGTGTCTGCACAAACCCGCTACCAAGGAAAATTTACTACTTCCATTCCGCTGGTGAAATCTTTCTCATATGTGGTAAGTAATGTTCTCTCCCCCCCCCCCCCCACCCCCAACCACAAGTGCAGGACACCCTTGGTAACAGGAGCAGCCCTGGGAAGTAAAGGCAGCTGATGTGATGCTAACCACATCAGCCACCAAGTGCCGATTGGTCTACAGAATATAAGTCTAGTCCAGTGGTTCTCAACCTTCATAATGCGACGACCCTTTAATACAGTTGCCCAAGTGGTGACCCCCAGCCATATAGTTATTTTCGTTGCTACTTCATAGCTTCAATGTATATGTGTTTTCTGATGGTCTTATAGATGGAAGATGCATAACTGAAATGAGAAACAGAAAAGAGTAGGCGAAAACTGCATTTTATAATATGAAGAATATCTTGTGCAATATATCCTTGTCATTGAGAGTTAGAAAAAGAATTCTTGCTTGCTACATACATCCAATTTTAACATATGGCTGTGAATCCTTGACAGTCGGTAGGCATACCAAACAATTAATCAGAGATGTGGTTTTACAGAAGGTTGTTTAGAATACCTTGGACAGAAAAAAAGAGCAACCAAGAGGTTTTGAAAGAGGCGGGAGCCCGATGACAACTTATCACAGACATCAGAAGGAGACTGTCATCATTTTTCGGCCATGTTATGAGAAGAGGGAAAATAGAACATATTGTGACCACTGGAAAGATCTGTGGAAGGAGGGATAGAGGAAGACAACGAGAGAAGATTCTTGACAGTCTTGTTGCATGGCATAGAGGTGTGTCGGCAAACGAGCTGATACATGTTGCAGGAGATCGCAGATTATGGAGAGGCATGATCGCCCACGCCAGTTGGCAAGGCACCTGATGATGATGATGATGATGATGGTGGTCTAAGGCGACCATAGATAAATGGTCGTTGGACCCCCAAAATGGGTCGCAGCACACAGGTTGAGAACCGCTGGTCTAGTCTTATATGCCCGGTACAATTGAAGGTGTAGGGAGAGTCCTTTCTCTTGAACTAATATATGAATTAAAGATCTAATGGTACTGAAGTGTGACATAAAGCCTTAGCATATTATTATTATTACGTACTTAAACAAGGAAGGAGCAGCATTGTGGTATAGCGGCTAGATAAGTGGTTACTATACGTGTTTTTCCCCCTAACCCACTTTATTATAGTCTTGTGATCAGTGAATTCATTTCTAAATCTGACAGATTCTGACAGATAAATTGTAATGCCCAGGCTGACAATTACAGAGCAAGATAAAGAAGTAGAGACTGAAGAAAACACTAGGCTAGACACTGGGTCATCTACAGCTTCAGATTGTCTTATTGGAGACCTCGCTGGAAAAAAAATCGATCGAAACCTTCGATTGTTATTGTGTTTGCTCTCCCCCCCCCTTCCCCCCTCCCCCCCCAACCCCCTTTATTTTTCACCCCGTATATCTCTTAAAGTTAGTGATATCTTGTGTTAAGTAAATTTTTTTTTTTTTGTGAATTCATTTATTTGTATATACAAGAGAAGATCAATTTCAAAACGAAGAAAATGAAAGCGGGTTAGGGCTGAAATTTGACATACAATTATTTAAAGAGTACCAGATGAGATGGTTCGGTCATCTAACGAATATTAGAGAAGAAACGTAAAGAGTACATATAAAACCATAATGTTAATGCCAATCGCACATGATAAACACATTGTTATGTACCGATAGGCAGTCAGGAAGGCAGAGTAAAGAAGTATAAACAGGCTTTCTTTATCATTCTTCTTCTTTTTCTGTCTGTCTGTCTGTCTTTCTTTCTTTCTTTCTTTCTTTCTTTCTTTCTTTCTTTCTTTCTTTCTTTCTTTCTTTCTTTCTTTCTTTCTTTCTTTCTTTCTTTCTTTCTTTCTTTCTTTCTTTCTTTCTTTCTTTCTTTCTTTCTTTCTTTCTTTCTTTCTTTCTTTCTTTCTTTCTTTCTTTCTTTCTTTCTTTCTTTCTTTCTTTCTTTCTTTCTTTCTTTCTTTCTTTCCTTTCTTCCATCCTTTCTTCTTTCCTTTCTTTCTTTCTTACTTTCCTTTCTTTCTTCTTTTCTTTCCTCCTTTCTTTCTTTTTTCTTTCTTTCTTCCTTTCCCTTTTTTTTCTTTCTTCCTTTCTTTCTTCCTTTCTTTTTCTTCTTTCTTTGTCTTCTCTCTGTCTTCTATCTTTGACTTCTGTCTTTTTCTTCCGTCTTTTTCTTCTTTCTTCTTTCTTTTTCTTCTTTCTTTTTCTTAATTTTCTTTTTTTACTTTCTTCTTCTTCTTCTTCTTCTTCTTCTTCTTCTTCTTCTTCTTCTTCTTCTTCTTCTTCTTCTTCTTCTTCTTCTTCTTCTTCTTCTTCTTCTTCTTCTTCTTCTTCTTCTTCTTCTTCTTCTTCTTCTTCTTCTTCTTCTTCTTCTTCTTCTTCTTCTTCTTCTTCTTCTTCTTCTTCTTCTTCTTCTTCTTCTTCTTCTTCTTCTTCTTCTTCTTCTTCTTCTTCTTCTTCTGCTGCTTCTTCTTCTTCTGCTTCTTCTTTTTCTTCTTCTTCTTCTTCTTCTTCTTCTTCTTCTTCTTCTTCTTCTTCTTCTTCTTCTTCTTCTTCTTCTTCTTCTTCTTCTTCTTCTTCTTCTTCTTCTTCTTCTTCTTCTTCTTCTTCTTCTTCATTTTCTTCTTCTTCTACTTATGCTTCTGCTTCTTCTTCTTCTCCTGCTGCTTCTTCTGCTTTATCATCATCTTCTTCTTCTTCTTCTTCTTCTTCTTCTTCTTTTTCTTCTTCTTCTTCTTCTTCTTCTTCTTCTTCTTCTTCTTCTTCTTCTTCTTCTTCTTCTTCTTCTTCTTCTTCATTTTCTTCTTCTTCTACTTATGCTTCTGCTTCTTCTTCTCCTGCTGCTTCTTCTGCTTTATCATCTTCTTCTTCGTCTTCTTCGTGTTCACACAAATAGGGCCCCTAAACCATAAAGCAGGGCTACTAAACTCAGTCAACACCGAGACTAACATTTTGAAAATATGATCGTCAGGGGCCAGAAACCCGAGCCCAAGTATAGAATGAGCATTTTTATAATTCAAATGGCAGTGATCCGCTGGCCACTTTCTAGACCTCCTCGGGCCCGTTTTGTCCACAGGCCACCAGTTGAACAGCCCTGTCGTGTTCTAAAGGTTACCGGGTGCTTATTTTTTAAGATTTAGCTGAAGTTGGAAGCGAAGCGGATATCAAAACTATGCATTCGTTCAGTACCGCATGCAACAACAGAAATTGCGGCACACAAAAAGCAACAACAAAGAAATTAATATTTTAGAGCAGCATCTTTTATGTGGAGAAATAAGGATATAATGAGTGAAGCACTTCACAGATTACACAGAGAGAATACTCCAAAGATGGGATGAGATCAGCGGCATGGGAGGAAGCGAGATGCGATTGAATGGGGTGGGGTGGGGGGTGGGAGGTAGCACCAGAAGAAAATTTAGAAAAATGGGAGGGGGAGGGGCACACAAAGGAAGAAGGAAGATAAGGAGAAGAAGAAAGGGGATTGTGAAAAGGTAAAGAGGTAGAGGGAGTGGATAAGGAGGAGTTAGGGATAAAAGGAATATAAAGGGAAGGAGACAAAACGGCAAAGGAAGGAGGACGAGGAAAGCAAGGATGACAAAGGGAGGGATAAAAGAGAAGTGAAGAGTTAGAGGAAAGTGAAGATTCAGACGAATAAATAGATAGCTGTATGTAGACAAAAGACTTGTTTGAATATAATATTTACATGTGCAATTTCAACAACACCCTATTTTAGAATGCTCTAGTTGCTTCAAAGATAGATCTGTGTACTTTTTCTTCTTTTGTCGTCTCACTGATACCAAATTGTAGCCCAGTGTCACTTTTTCTTCTCTTGTCGTCTCACTGATACCAGGTTGTAGCCTAGTGTCACTTTTTCTTCTCTTGTCGTCTCACTAATACCAGGTTGTAGTCCAGTGTCGTAGTTTTGTGGCTCACCGATACCAGGTTGTAGCCCAGTGTCGTGGTTTTGTCCTCTCACTGATACCATGTTGTAGCCCAGCGTCGTGGTTTTGTCGTCTCACTGATACCATGTTGTAGCCCAGCGTCGTGGTTTTGTCATCTCACTGATGCCAGATTGTAGCCCATTATCGTGGTTTTCTGAATTTGTCTTGTGCTAAGTTATAGATTTGTTTACCTTTTTGCCGATTTCAGCTACTCCATTTATCCATGTCTTTCTTGGTCTTCCTGTCGCCTTTCTCCTAGAGATCTGTAGACAGATTAGTTAAAATCTTTTTTTGCCCTTCCCTTATACAGAAAGAAAGGTATCGACGAAGTTGAAATACACTGCAGAGACATAACAGTTGTAATCAGTAGTTTAAAATAAACATTGCGGCTAGAATATTCTGACTTCCGCCCTCACTGACAAACACACATCATTAGACAGATTAGGTTGTTTCGATTGCTACAGCCTTAAAACAGGAAGCAGACACGGACAGAAAGACAGATGAAGACGAATGCAGGTATCTTGCCCGTTCAAGAATTATAATTCTCATTTTCAAACAAACTGCCTGCTCTAGAATGTTGTGATAACACAGAAAACACTGATAAATATTCAGCATGGCTGACATATACCGCGGCATTAACATGGTCTGACCTTAAAGAGGAAGATAACAGTGACAGTAATCAGATGAGGATAAATACGGAGTATCTTGCCTATGAGACAATTAAAGCTATCATTTTTAGCGTCTAAACGGAGTCTATTTCAGACATCCTAAATTGGACGTTATGTTTTAATAGGCCGATAATGGTAGTCTAGTTCAGTTGTGATCTTCAAGGAAGTTTGAAAACACTGTGACTGTTCCAGCAAATCCACAGTAGTTTATTTAGTGCTCGTGGAACGAGATATCACGAAGCAAATAGGGGGAAAGTAAAAAGCAGTGTTATCAATGCTAGATTTAGACATAAGTTGGCTATCCTCCGAAAAACGGTCGTAAATTATCGGCGCTGAAAATATACCCTAACAGGGCCTCAGTTATGTGTCAATTACGCATTTCAGGGGACTATAA